AAAGAGTGTTCATGTCATGTATGTAAAAGTTAATGAGAACTCTTACTTCTAAAACCCATTACAGGTTTTTTTCCTTCATTACAGTAGTTGCTCAGGGGCCTGGTTTACAGGCAAGGTTACAAGCTCACCCCTGACCCAAGTCAGTTTACATTCCAAACAGACAAGCCAGATAAAAGGTGGGAGGGGAAGCAAAGGAAGTCACTTCAAATATTGCAAGTTGTTTCTGCTCTCATCCTAAAATACCCATCTCTATTTGTCTGTCCTTTCCTCTCTCACTTCTTCCTTATATTAACCTCAGCACTCAGAAGTAGCCTCCACTGAAACACCTCTGTTCCTTAGAGGAGACTTCAAACCTAATCCCCTCAGTTAGTAAAGTAATAAAATTAAATACCTTCTACTTTAGACCATAGCAACACCACCTTACGAAAAATCCCATTTCTCTTTGCAGGTGAAAGTGAAATCTGAAGTCCTTGCAGTGAAGCTGTCTCAAGAAATAAACTATGCAAAGAGCCTTTATTACGAACAACAGCTTATGTTAAGACTCAGTGAAAATCAAGAACAACTGGAGCTGGACTCTTGAAACCTCTTCCTCACTGCCAGAGTGGGCTGCAGGGCTGGGGCTGGAGCGGGTGGGGTTCTGTGACTAGAGGAGGTGCTGTGGGGAGGGGGCAAAGGCCATTTTAGGGATTGGCTAAATGGAATAACTGTGCATAAGAAAACAGGTGAGGTGGGCTTGTTTGGGTTTTTAAGGCACTAGTTGTATAACAGAGCTGTAGCTGAGATGCTTCTGGGAGAAGCCCTGGATCTTGCTGACATGTATATATGTAAAAGTATTTCATGTAAATAAGAAAGTACAGATCAGGGTGTTGGTATAAATACAAGTCTGTTTATTGTGTAAAGAAATTAAAGGAGCTATACTGAGTCTCACTGCACTGCCTGAAACCAGCCCTTCTCTCTCTTTCTCTCTCTTTTTCTTGAGAAAGTGGATTTTCACAGTGCAGGAGTGTGGATAAAAGCTGAAAAAGTACAAATTAGGAGTGAATTGCAGCTCTTGGAGCACAGGCATCCTGCAGTTTGGAGCTTTAGCACTGTGATTAGGGTGCATCCCTTGATTGTTGGGTTTTTATTGTTTTTTTCTTAAATCACTGGTACAGCTAAATGCACAAATACCTTATTTCATCCTCCTTTTTAACAAAAACAATTGCATTTTGTTAAATATTGCAGCGAGGACTCCCTGATTCAATTACACTTTCAAAATGCCAGAACATAGCACCCGAAGCTAGTGCAGTCTGTGCCTCTGCAGGGCCCTGCTTCCAGGCTGGCTTTGAAAGGGTTCAAGTGAGCAACTGTGAAAAGTGAACTCTTTATCTTCAGCTCCCCCCTTCACTCAGACTGTCAGTGTATGTAGCTGGCCAGTGTGGGATCCTGCTGGCAGTGGGAATGCCAGTGGCGTGGCGAGAGGAAATCACCCCGTCGTTTGTCTTCATGACAACCTCTTCAGAATGAAACTTTTGGAAATAATAAAAATGTCTTTTTTCAAATGCTGGACATCAGTTTAGTATTTCTCTCATCAACTTGAACCGAGCTGAGGAGTGAGGAGTGGGTGTGCTTACACACCTCTGTTCACAGCACCCAGGAAGCCTCAGCCCTGGGGGGGCTGGCGCGGGGGCTGCGCTCCGCGTGTCCGTACAGCACTGCCTGAAACTCCAGCCTGAGAGTGTTACTGACACACCTCTGACTCCAAGCACGGAGCCCACTAGAGCTTTACCTTCAACTTAGTTTACCTTTTAATATCCTTTCGTAAAGGCATACAGGAATATTTTTGAACTGAAGGGTAGAACTAAACTAATTCTCAACTCCTGTGAAGTGAAGGGTGGAGGGTTACAGTCTGAGGAGAAACCATGGCCTCAGTTGATGTGCGTATGGTCTGTGACTGCCACTCGAAATCCATTTACACAAATGAAACTGATTTAATGCATCACTTTTGTATATTGCTCTGTAATTTGAAGTAAAATAAGGAATCCAACAAGTGTGTTGGCTCAGCAGTGCTTTACCACATCAGTCCTGCTGGACTCTGCTGCCGAGGCGCCCTGCTGATTAGATGGGGAAGGGAAATAAAAAGCATTTCACAGCTCTGAGTTGGGAATTCAGAGAGTGGTTGAGTGCTGAAGTTTTGTAACAATTCTGTAAGGAGCTCACCTGCCAACACCTGGGAAGTAGTTTAAAAGTAAACACTCTGAGTTACCTGAACTCGGGGAGCCACAGTCGGTGATGGATCTGACCTGTGTGTTTGTGCTTAACCTGTTCTTTGGCTGTTGGTAAACGTACCCTGAGCCTCGATGCACCCGTGGCTGGGACTGGCCCTGGCTGTCCCAGGGATCCTGCTCTGGGGGGGCGGAGGGAGCTGCCCAGTGTCCTGGCTGGGGGACAGTGCCGAGCGCACGGGGCGACGCGCGGCCGTGGCTGAACGCAGCACGTTGCCTCACTTAGCATTCCAAAACAAACTGAACCAGAACTTTTGGTTTTTTTAAAAGCAGAAATGATGTTATTTATTGCTGTAACCCAACTATTTTTATATGATTTCAGAACTCTTACTGTGGACTTCCTATTGCTATTGGCACTACTAACATTATTACTCAGTGAATAAATATAACTTTCAGATTCCAGGAGCCGTACTCAAAAATAGTTTTGAGAGGCTGTGGAGAGTAAGTGCAAGTCTCCAGCCTTCACTCAGCCTCCTGAGAATTCAAACACGAGCTCTAAGCAGTCAAGACAACGCAATGGTTCCGTTTACCCAATTCTGCAGAGTTCTCTGGGTTCGGAGCCTCCTGCTGCCAGCACAGGAGCCTGGTGTCGCTGGCAGGGGTGTGCCCTGCAGCCAGGAGAGCAGGTCCAGCCTCCAAACTGCAGAAGCTCCACAGGGGAGAACTGGCTGCTGAGAGGCAGCACGAGAGCTTTCTGCCCCTGCCCCACACCCGTGGCCAGGGCACCTCGGGGAGTGTGAGGCTCTTTCAGGCCTCTTTGCTCCAGGCTCTATAAAAAGCTGTTCACCCCCTAACATTGACTAACCCCTCAGCAACACAAGGCAATGCTGCAAAACCCTACAGCCGTGCAGTGCTCTCCTGAGATCTTCCCTTCAGCCCCATACCTTTACTGCTGCCTGCACGACGTGGTCTCTGCCCTCCCTGCCCAGCTTTGCTTTCTCACTGGAGTTGAGACTGGAAAATGTGGAATAAAAAGCAGTGATATCAGTTATTTCATGATGCTTCTGGGTAAGTGCAATAAATTGATTCCACCCACACTCCTCAGGTGCCCTTGCTTGCAAAACCATTAATTGTGTGCAGGAACAGAAAATTACTGTGGAGGACAGGAACAAATAATTCTCTAGGTCAAACACATCCCTCTTGAGATCTGGGAAGAATGCATCCTAATATTGCTAACAATTTTTTTGCTGCATTCTGCTGTCACTAAACCAAGACAGACTCGTGACTGAGGTGGGTAAACAAGAGCAGAAGAAAGCAGTGATATCTCTTTATTCTTGCAGAAATTCTGGACAAGCAGACCTACAAAAGTCCTTTCTGTTGTGACCCAAACCCACAGCTGGGGCTGCAAACTTCCATCTTGCTGGCAAAGCAATCCCAACGCAGAGAGCTGCTATTTCTGATCATTGCTTTCAGCTCTGTGACACGCTCACAGCTAACAGGAATGTGCCAAGGCCACTACGAGACCTTTTGCTGAGGAGAGCCCCTGGTAAAGCAGCTGGCAGTGCAGAAGGCTGAGGGTCCAGGGCTGCTGGAGAGGCAGCCCCAGCGCAGGCACCCGCAGCCAAGTGCCACTGCAGGAGCCAGGCCCTGGCTGGCAGCAGGACCCAGCACTGTCCAGGCAGGAGCAGAGCCCATGTCTGCCCACTGGCTGCCTCTGGAAGATGAGAAAGGAATCCTTTTCTGAAGTCACAGAATAGACTGGAAAGAAAATTTACTGACTTTTAGATGTCTTACTCAATTGCACAGGGACTTATGCACCTTCCTATGGTACAATCAGACTGAAACAGACTCCTTGTTACAGTCATTGCTGAACATGAACAATCCTGATACCTACTTCAAGTCTAGGCAGTGACACAAGAAATACAAAATGAGGTCTGCCTGCAATGAGGTAAACTGCAAGATGCAAACAGCATCCTTCCCTTCCTGCTGCTCCCGACCAGCCTGCCAATAAATCAGCTCAGTGATGCTGCCTGACCAGCTTTAGCTGTGAGTGCTGTTTACTGAAAAAGTGCAGTGCTTACATTTTTGTGGAGAGACTGTAAGTGGCTAAATGGGCCACAGCTCAGAACAGAAAAAAATAATCATAACGTTGCCCTGTGACAAGGAGGGTTTGAGCTCTTTGCTCTCCCATTTTATAGACTGCATGATGGTTTTCAGGATTTATCTATTTTCTCATCCCTAAAATACTTCCTGGAATCCTAGATCAACCTTTTTTTTTTTGGTCTGCAATACAGCTTAGCACTGCCCTGTTTCCTACAGCACACACAGCACTAGGTGATGACTGCTCCAGGACTGACCTTGCTTGCTCTGCTTCCCTGGGAAGAACATGCCTCAGTTTGCTGAGCACACTGAGTTCACCCCTGGTACCTGGGTCTGAAGGAGCACGTTCAGAGGCGTGTGCTCTCCTCAGGTCACAGGCTGCTGCAAAGAGAAAACCAAAACCACCAAAACACACTTTAATTAAGTCAACAGTTGCTCAAAGTCCACTTGCACAACTCGGTTTCTTCCAAAGAATAACATTCCCTCTGTGTCTGTGCTTGTATACTTCTCTTTTTAATACACCACACACACACAAATGTATGTATATACATCCATACTCATACCTGGGGTTTTTAAAACTGGTCTTGAAAAGTGGTGGCCACACCCCAAACAAACTCCTCTGTTCTGAGAAGTGTGGGTGTTACAAAGAAGGAGCACAGTCTTGTTTTTCAGAATAAAATAAAAATAAAATAAAACTATGCCCAGACATTTGGATTCCAGTCCGGACTCCTGTAAAATCCAGGTTTGACAGTGGGCCCTTAGTCAGTCCCAGTGATGACTCTTGGTTTTATCAGACGTTGGGCTAGGACTGAAACTCTTCCAGTTCCCCACTGCTGTTACTGGTTCAGCATTTTCACAGCCTCCTGGGAGTGGGCCCAGTGCTCTGGCAGCCTCGGGAGAGGAGTGGGGACAGCACAAAGTCGCCAGCCTGGGAAACAGTGTGAGGTCTCCTAGCAGCACTCCAGGGGAGGGGCCAGCCCAGCCCAGCCCCACTGCCCCGAGCCCTCCCGCAGCTCCTCCAGCACCTGAGCCCAGCAGCAAACGGCTCCGGGCAGCCAGACCCCAGTGGCCCAGGGGCTTGTTGGACAGGGCTGGTTCCTGCTCTCTGCAGCTGACCCCACTGCCCACTCAGCCCCACT